GTGTTGGTCTTTCACATTAAATTCCAGTGAAATACTATATATTTATGTTTGTGGTTGTAATGTGACAAAATATGGAAAAGTTCAAGGGGTATGAATACTTTTGAAAACCACTGTATATGATACAAAGGCATGCCACATTTTTAAAATATGATACAATGACCTGCCGTATATCCTTAATTATATGATACAACAACATGCCATCTATTTTTAGGTATATGATACAGTTTTAAATACTCTTTCAGTTTAATTTTTTTATAATTTTTTAACAAACTTTTTGGCCCCAATCTAGCTCCATACTAGCAAGTGCTGGTAAAATTCAAACAACTATTCTTATAGTGAGCGCCTGATTGGATTAAACTTCAGTCCTAACTGTTGGATCTAAAAGTGTGGCTCGGTTTCAGTCTCATTTATCCTTTAACTTTTATTTTCTACGTTTAGTTTCTTCCTGTAGAACAGCTTCACCTCAGAGCTGATCGTCTGCCCGAGTGTCTGTCTCTCTGGACTGTTTGTGTCTCTGCTGACTCAGCTTTTTACTGCAGACCTCATTAGAAGCTGTAGGTGACGCAGCAGCATTTCCTCCTCTAATACCACACAGCAGTCCTGGTTTACTGAGGGTGGTGGGTGTTAGTGTGTGGTTCCTGTCTGTGTGTGTTTCTGTGCAACTCTGTGTGGATACACTGGTGAGCAGCAGCTAGAATAAACAAAATAAACAATCTGTAGCTATGTTTTTTATATATATCTGTTCTAGTCTGTTATTTCTTTAACACCACGTCTTCAGGTTTTCTTTATTACAAGACAGAAATGAAGAGTAAAGAGTGAGAAGTTAATAAAATTAATTTAGCTTTAATGTGTAAACGCTTATTTTCTTTAAATAAAACAAACATGTGTTTTAATTAACTTTTTTAGTTTAAGTTTGAATAGATCAATATATATATATATATATATATATATATAGGTCATAATTTTAAATCGGGGAACAAAAACTCTCGGTTGTAGCAGAATTATTTATAGAGGAAGTCTCATAAGAAGCCTTTAGACCGACGTTTAGAACAGTTTTCATCGACCAAAGTTAATAAGATTTATACTAAATGTTTTGTTCAGTTCAAAATGATGATGCAGCTGCAGTGCTACACCACAGTCTCTGTGGTTTTCCAGAAAAGCTGTCGTCATGGCTGTCGCGGTACAACACAATAACAGAACAAGTGAAATAAAGTCACACAGCTCCGTCCTCTGTCAAGGTTTCCATAAACACCGCGGCCACCTTCCCTCTGCCGGTCAGAGCTCATAAATCCAGTCCATTTGGTCCGGCTCCAAGTGAAGCGCAGAAACACAGAACCGTATGCCCCTCCTCCTGACACAGTGTGGGTTTATGTGTCTTTCTAATAAATATAATTATTTCTATTTTTTTAATTAAGTATCAAACAAATGAAAGCTGAAGTTGCTGAGTCGAACTCGCAGAAGGCCTTACATTTGCAGTAGGGCTGTGTATTGGCAAGAATTTGGCGATACGAAACATATCATGACAGACGGGTCACGATATGATATACCCCGATATATTGCGATACTGTAAACAAGGTGATATATTGCGATTTTTTTTTTTTTTTTGGTCCAAAAATTCTATTAAAGAAAAACGTCTTACTGGAAAAAAAATTAAAAACCGAAATTCATTGTCTCAGAAAATTCTATTACATAGACATGCGCTAGCTTTCTGTAACGTGAAGGCTGACTAAAGTTGGAAAAAAGAGCGCACGAGACGCTTAATTTGGTTTAAAATCCAGACATTCTGATAAATAAGTAACTGTTGGTAACCTTACCTCAGCTTAGAAGGCAGAGGGTGTCGGTCTTTTCCGCTCAGATTCAGCTATCGGAGCATGAAGCTAATGTTTACTCACAATGCTAATGCTACCCTTACTCTCTGGTGCTCAAGAGGTAGAGGAGCCAAATGGCTGGTTCACTGCTGCCAGCTAGTGGTCAGAGGATGAACTACAACATAAAAATGAACGGCTGGCAGGAAAGTTGACATTTTAAACCTTAATTAAATATCAATACAGGGCTTTAGAATATCGATACAGTATCAGGAAATGAAATATCGTGATATTTCAGTGTATCGATGTTTTCTTACACCCCTAATTTGCAGTAACTTTGATTTTGCATATTTATATTCTCTGAAATGACACTGAAGTGGGTTAAAATGTCAGTTTTCAGCAGTAAAGTCATGATCTACACTTCTGCAACCTGCTGTAACCAACTGATCCTGCTGTTTTAAATCAGGATTAATGATATAACCAGGATTTACCCTCCTCTTAAACAAGGATCTTCAACAGATCTGTGACACTACTGCTGCTTTCTGTCTCTCTTCTTTCTTTCTTCTTCCTATACTTTAGTTTTCCTCTTTTGTTATTTTATTAACTTGTAGTTCCTGCACCCCAGACTGTTGGTACACAACACTTCCTGGTTAGAATGGTTTCTCTTCACTCCAACCAAACTCTTTGCTTCATATTTCCTGTTTTTATTGTTTTAACATGTTTTATAACTAAAGCATCTTGGCATTTCTTATTTCCACCGTCTTAAGGTAAAATATTAGATGTTTGATGTAATTATAGTGATCAGCTTGTAATTGATGCAGTTTTTTATGCACATCTGGAAATTTGACCTCACCTCAACTTTCAGCTCGTTTCCTCAGATCAAATCAAATCTGTTTTTAAGTCAGATAAAGTCAGGTTATTGTTACCGAAAATTACGTTTGAAAACTATTAACATTTTTGTCTTTGTGCCAAACAAGTTTAGAGAAGTTAAAATGACCAGCAGTAAAAAATAAACAGCAACAGTGCCTCCTAGTGACTGATTATTGGAAGCACAGTTTTTAGTTTAACCTTTAAAATTTTTAAAATAAGTTATAAGTAAAAATTGATATATTTTGCAACATGAGTTCCATATCTGATACGTAAATTAAAAATGTAAACTAATTATAAAGACAAGGCTGGAAAGTAGCAAAAAGACAAAAGACATCTCATAATTCATTATTATTATAGATGTACTTTTAATCTATAATAAAAAAGAAAAGAAAAAAACACTTTGCTGTGAGCTAAACTTTATTTCATGAAGTTTTAGTTTTGATAAAACTCACTTTTGTTCATGCTTGTGATATTTTTGTGCGAGCCGCTCCGTTTCCGTCAGCCTCATCACATTTGTTTATCCTCCCACACGTTGGTGTCTCGCCGTTTTACCTCCATCCAGTGTTTCAGTGGAGTTTCAGTGAGTTCAGGCTGATTCACCTGAAGATGTGAACTGGTTCATGAGGGAGGGGTTGTGTTGGGCCGAGACTGTCTGGTTGATTCCTAACGGCTTCTTTTGTCTTCTTCTTGAGGGTCACAGACGAACCTGAGAGAATCAGCAGATCTCCGGTCACAAGGTGAGTTCAGGTTTGCAACATAAAAACAAACAAATCTCCAGCATGTTACCAACTAAACAACTAAAAATAATTTTGACTCTTTTAAAGGAGCGTTTCTGCTTCTTCTGAGTCCAACAATCAGACAGATCAGCTGTTACATGAATTTAGAAACAGAATGATTTAGTGAGAGGATGTTTAAAAGCAGCAGATTTTCTCTCTCATGTAATTACAAATTATTTTACAGACCTGAGTGCCGCGTTCTGTGGAGACATGGTTTCTCAACATTTTTGTATCAATAATACACAACAGGAACATAAAAACTTCCTCGTCATTTTTTTCTGTCTTTGGCCCCAATATTCTGCTGTAAAACTATTATCTGTGATTAACTGGTCTCATTTTTACTGAAAACAGATTTTATTTAGTTTAGTTTAGTTTAGTTTATAAAGTTTATTTTTTAAAAACAAAACAAATTCTATATACAACAAAAAATACAAATAAATAAAATGAAAGGCAGCAGAAAGAAGAAAAAATTTTATATCTGACCTTTATTGTCCAAAACAATAATTCCAACAATAATAATCTTCAAATAACAAAAAAGGTTAACTCCTTCTTGAGCAACAATTCATATAGATACACATTATACTATTTCAAATTTTTTCAACAACCCAACTCTGATCATTCTCTTAACATCTCCCAAGGGGTTTCCTTGATGGTTTTTTTTTCTCAAAATACCATGAAATGTAACTGAGTGTATCTCAGCATTTACAAACTCTACTGAAATAATCTTTGTATCAAAATAAAACATTTGGAAGATTTCATCAGAAGTGTATGTGGTTTTAGAGATATTGAGCATGGAATATAGTTATTTAATTTTATTTTCACTCTCACCTGAATAATATTTGCATTTGATAGTATATAACCTATTTAAATCCATAATGAAGAAAGATAAAAACTCTTGTAAACCATAAATCCTCTTGTGGACATCACCTGTGCAAAGATTCATGCTGCTAAAMTTAACTGGAGCAAAGTTACAGAGGTTTTAGTAAAGAAGTAATTTAGCATTTAGTCTTTCTGCACAGGACAGACCGTGATGGTAACATTAATAAATGTTAAGAAATCTGAAGTTTTTACTTCCAAAGTTTATTTATTTTAATTATCTGCTTTAAAAGACTTGTTATTGAATGTTTGTTCTTTTGAAAAATTGTCCAGACATTTATTTTGTCACCATATATATTATATAAAAAAATGAGAAATTATATTTGACTTCAGTTGGATCATATTCACTCAAAATCAAGTAAAAAAAACTTTCAAACCACTTTACAACCTATTTAGGTATCTAGTTTGACTTGCTTTATAAAAAATAATGTGAAAGATTTTCCTTTGCAGATTTGAAATGACGCCATTTTGTGTTATTTGTTTACTTTCTGATTCAGCTGCTTGACGTTTGAACTGTGTTTGGTGAATGGTAAAATATTTTCCATGAGCTTTTAGCCAAGATTCTTAGCTTTCTATTGATACCAAACATGTCCAGAGACAGATCTGAAGTTAAAAGAAATGGAAAATGGGAAAAGCTGTTTTGCCCCGGGTACCAGGGGCAGTTAAACCATTGCACAAAATAATGAAACGGCTTCTATCGGGGACTGATTTAATGTTTGATAAAAATCTGCATGACATTGTTCAGATAGAAGAAACACTGAAGCAGTTTGAGAAATTTAAATACAAAAACTAAACATGAAGCAGAATTTATATTAAAGTCCAGTTTCTGCTGATTGTGTCAAAACATGTTTGTAGCAGTTTAAAAAAATTGTTGCATCCAGGAAACATTAAACATCTGAAGCTGCCATAAAATAATATTTTTGTTCTTTTTGTTATTTTTTGATGTCAGTTTGTGGTAATGAAGCTGTCGTGTCCTTCCTCTCAGCTTCAGCTGCTCCCGTCCAGTCTCAGGTTAAAACCAGCAGGTAAAGCAGCAGCGTGGAGCTAACGTTAGCTTCTGTTAGACCGTGGTGTGGCTGTAGCGTCTCAGTGTAGCTCCTCCTCCTTAGATGAGAAGACGTCTGCATCTCATGTTGTGGTGTTAGACGATGTGAGGAGCTAAATTTCTATTTAGGATTTTTATGTTTGAGTTATTAATTATTTGTTTTTCTCTCCTTTTTTCCCTGAATCATCATTCATTCACTTCTGTCTTTATTTAACCCTTCCTCATCCTCACTCCTTTTCTCCTGTCCTCCCACTTTAACCCTTGTGTTCATAAACGTCCTCGCACGGCTCCTCCTCTTTCCCTCCCTCCAGTCGCCATCTATCTGGGTATCAAAAAGCGGTCGAGCCCCGGACCCCCCGATGCGGCTGGGATGTGAGGGTGCGGAGCCCCCGGGACCCGGCCGAGGTGGTGCTGGCGCTGCGCGAGGCGGCGCAGGGCTGCGGCTGCCAGGTCCACCTGGCTGGGCCGTTCCTCCTCTCCTGCACCCACGGAGCAGCCGGCGCCCGCGTGGCCTTCGAGGCCGAGGTCTGCCAGCTGCCCAGCGGGCTGGGCCAGAGCAGCGGGGTCAAGTTCAAGCGCCTGTGGGGGGCGCCATTAGCCTTTAGAGACATCGCCACCAAAGTGTCCAAGGAGCTGGAGCTCTGAGAGCGAGCGGAGGTGGGGCGGCTGGATGACAGGATGGGACGGGAGGAAGAACAGGAAGCTCCTCCTCCTCATCAGCACTGCCTCACCTCCACCCTCGCAGCTGGACGAGTGGATGCAAAGATGCAGACAGGCTTATGATGACCTCTGACTTCAGAGCTGACCTTTGAACCCTGCTTACCTGCTCCCACCTAGTTTGTTTTATTTTTTTTATCTGCAGAATAGGATTTAAGGCTGTTGTGAATGAATGATGGAGAGTGATCGTTTTATTTCTGTTGTTTGTCATCATTCCTTTTTAAAGAGCTGCTATTTAAATAAGTTTTTTTAATTATTTTTGTGTAACAGTTTATTTTCCTTTTAGTGCTTTAAAAACAGGCAAACACNATGAAAGGAAGCAAAACTACGTTTATGTTTCTGCTCTGTTTGTTTGTGTAAAAATGTTGATAGCCAGCAGGACTCGTAGAAAAACTAATCCTGGACTTTACGAGCCAAACTTTAGAACTCTTCAGTTTCAGACGCCGTCACTAAACATCACAATTAGAAGGCGAAAAACACTTGTAGATGAAAATTTAAACAAGAAGGCCTCATATTTATTCGAGCCAAGTTTTTTAAACAGTTTATTTTTTCCTGAAGTAGAGAGGATTAAAATGGTAAAATTGAACTGAAATGAAAACTGAACAGTAACAAAGATCAGATATGTTGGCTGTTTTAGTCCAGGATGCTAAAACCAAACAATTCTGAAAAAGAAATCTGTCACATTTTCCAACAGTGAAGCATTTAAATCTATTATAAAGTCTAAAACATTTACCCTCGTGTAGTTTTTACTGGTTTATAAAAAAAACAGTAATTTGTGCTTTTTCTTTTCTTCACAATCACAACCCTTCAGAAGCCATTTTCTGTTTAGTGCAATACAGCCACAAAGCCAATAATTAAGACGTGGAGTGTTGATTAGGACTTAAAAGGACTCTTTTATGTTTGTTTTTTAATGTTGACGTTCATTGAGCACTTTTTTTCCTCACTGTTTTGCATTTATTTATGATTTCTTTCAATAATTGCATTTTGAATTAAAATCCATGCAGCAGGTCACCCCCACACCCACGATATCTTGACCCTGTTCAGACCCTAAACCTTACATTTATGTTTGTGACGGACAGATCCTATAAGGTCTACGCAGTTTTTACAAAAAATACTATAATTGCAGACATCTGAATTAAATTATTATTGAATTAAGAGTAATAAAGAAGCATAAAATGATCAAATCCACCACAGTGAAACAGTGCTGATATAAAATGCAATAAAAAGTTGATAGCTCAGTGACCACAGTGGGTCATAAAACAATGGGAACAAAAAAACTAAAAAGAAACTCACCGTGCAGCGTCCTGATTATCTTCTCTGGTTAACAAAATCCCAACAAAAAAACAAATTTTATTACAGATAAGATACTGATAAATGGTTTATTACAACTTTTAGCAAACATTTTTAAAATATTCTCGAGGATTTGTTTGTTTATCATCCATTTGAGGCCAGTAGGGGGCGCAATGATACAGAAAATTCACGATTCGGTAGTCTCAAGTTTCGATTTTTTTTGATACAAAAAAAAGAAATGTCCATGTCCTTCCTTGTAATTTACTGAAATTAATTATGAACATTTGTTTAAACTCAAAACTAGTTTTTAAATGAAATGTTGCTGAAACGGCAAGTTTCTCAGTGGATCTGTGCTCAACAATGAAGCCTAGGTGGAGTAGTCGAACACAGGTCCACTGATCCTTCAACACAGAGCATCTNCCTAGGTGGAGTAGTCGAACACAGATCCACTGATCCTTCAACACAGAGCATCTTCAGAAGACAAGCTGATAAAATAAATGTTAAAAATCTGTATTGTTCCATACATAGTGTGTACTGATCCATACATAGTGTGTACTGATCCATACATAGTGTGTATTGATCCATACATAGTGTGTATTGTTCTATACATAGTGTGTATTGTTCCATACATAGTGTGTATTGATCCATACATAGTGTGTATTGATCCATACATAGTGATCCATACATAGTGTGTATTGATCCATACATAGTGTGTATTGATCCATATTGATCCATACATAGTGTGTAATGAACCTAAAGCTCTGCATGTATTGTTGCACCCCTAATATTCGGCTCTACCCAGTTAATTTCTAAACTTTCAGGGTGGGGTCTGAACGGGGTCCGTTCAAAGTTTCCACCGTAGATGTGCCATTTTGTTGCAGTGACGCCACATTTCTAATCCAAACACGTCTGTCTGTCCATCAGAGCCATCGTTTTGTTTAACCTCAGCAACACTTCTGACATTCGAGCTGTAGATTTTTCCTTCTGTCGACCAATCGGGTCGAAGCAACGCTTTAGAAGACTGTTGACCAATGAGGGGCAAGCACTGCTGTAACAGGTTCATGACTGTTATCCAATCAGATCACTGGGTTTAAAAATCTACAGTCCGTTAAACGCTACGTGGGTCGTGTGTTTGAGGTAAAACCCTAAAGCTGCCGCATCACTAAAAACAAGCAGCTAACGGGGATAAAGACGTTTACTGCAGGTTTTTATCTGTTATTGGGAGATTTCAGGTGTCCGCCACTGAAAAAAAAAACTGTAAAGCTGTGATTTAGGGCTTTTAGTGACACGACTTGTTTTTGTTTACGACTCCGCCTCACCACTTGAGGATGTTTGATGCTTTAAGGCTGCAGGTCTGTTGTGTTTAAATCTAACGTACAAGCTGAAAACAAAAAATAAATAACGATCGACCTGCAATCCTGCATGTCTCCTAGGAAATGTGTGACGCAAAAATAAAGACCTTCAACCTCTTTTACATTTAGTCTTCTTTCTTTAAGATCAGAAGTTCTGCTCACCTGACTTTTTTTTTTTGTCCCCCGTCGCTGATGGGGGGGAAAGCTCTGTCCGTTACAATTTCAGAAAGCTGTAACTTTCACATAGAAAGGCTAAAATTAGAGATGACATTCGCGAACGATCCGAATCTTTTGAACGGCTTTTTACAACGAACGATAGGAGCCGAATTGTGGGCAGTAACGCGCCATTTGTAGTTTTATTTCTTTATATTTTCATACTTAAATCACTCCCGCTTTGCTTTTTCACGGAAAACAGGCAGAGTTGTGGAGTACAGAAGATCATGGTGAAAGGGGGAGGGGGGGGTTTCCGCTTGACAAAACACATGGTTCCACCCACGTGATGGGATTACGTCATTACTTACGGCTACATGATGACGTAATACGTTCAAAATCGAACGGCTCTTTTGAACGGCTCTATGAAACAAACGGCTCCCCAAGATCCAGTTCCCTTCAAAGAGCCATTTGTCCCATCTCTAGCTAAAATACACCAAACCTGGTATGAGTCATCCATGCACATACCATGTGGTTATATGACATCATCAAAGCCCCGCCCCCTGACAACTGGAACTGACCTTTTTTGGCTTGGAAAGCTCCATCTCTGACCTTCTTGACCTTATCAGCAACAAATCGTGTCTGAACACAGAAGTTAATCTCATTTGTTTTCAAGCACTAAGACTTCTTGGTGAAAGGCGTGTTCATGGCGGTGAGGCGAAGACGGACATCACGCAGTTGACAGATCTTTGGCTCTGAAGTCAATTTATTTCAGCCAATCAGCCTCCAATTCACTATGCTCAATCCTAATCCATCCCACTGCAGGAAAGCAGTAGTTTTTTGGAGGTGTGGCCTAATTCCTTCACATGAACCTCTACAATAATTGAAAAAATCAGCCCAGCCATGCTTTTAAATTTTGGACACGTAACAAAAAGTCTCTTGGGCCCCCACAGGAAGTCAGCCATTTTGGATCAAAGCTGCCAATTTGTTTCTTTTCTTGCACATGTATCTGAGCTAACTCCCCCTACAGCTTTGTACCTGCAGACTTCACATGCTGCATGCTTCTCTCAACACTAACTGGTGGAGGGACGGTGTGGATGTGGCAGTGTGGCGAATGCTGATGCCTCGCTGTTTGCACACGGTTAGCTCTAAACCTTACGTATTTGATCAGATCTGCAACAAATGTTGTGTTCATCATCAGGGAGACCTACTCAACACGTTTGCATGAGTTTGACAAGATCATTTTAGCCCCCAGTTCCTCTGTTTACCTGATGAGATGATTTAAATAATGAAGGCCTGTGATGATTCCAACAAAACTAACAGTTGGTCATTACTGATTGGTGACGTTCTATCTTGTTTTTTTAAGAAACACATCAACAAGATGAGGTGATTGTGACATGGGGCTTTAATAGTTCAGATATATTTTACAACCAAAAAAATTTTTTTTCCCCTTGGCGTGTACACATAGCCGTGACCAGACTATGCATGGATTGATCCCAGGATGTTACAGAGCAGATGGGAGGATGTTAGAAGAAAACAGAGGAGATGAAAGAAAAGTGGAGTGTCTTTTGATGGAAAGGTAGCAGAAAGTAGCCGTTTTTGGCCGAAACCAGTAAAATCACTTTACAACGGGGCTACGTGTTGGTTTTTCTTATAAAACAAACAAAAATAAACAAACAGACAGTCATTCAGTCATGGGTTGCCTGTCCACTTCACTTCTGAGCGGGGATCATGCCGTCGATGGACTCGCCCTTCTCCAGTTTCTTCTCCATCTCCACCATCAGCTTGACTCCGTCCACCACCAGCTGCACCTGCTCCACCTCGGAGGAGCCCAGACGGTCGGCGTTGGAGATGTCGAACACGCCGCCCACGGAGGCTGTGTCCACGCCACCTGGAGAAGGAAGAAGAGGATGAAACTCCACCTCCAAACAGGTCCTGAGGACGCTGAGACAAAGATTCAGGTCTTTTCTGCAGCACCTGTGCCACGTTTCTGCAGACGCAGCCTGGTCAGGATCTCCTCAAACTTGGCGTGTGTGCTGAGCTTGGGCAGCTTGACGTGCACGCCGCCACGCAGGCCGGTTCCCAGGTTGGAGGGGCAGGTGAGGATGTAGCCCAGATGCTCGTTCCACATGAAGCCATGGTTGTGCTTCTTGAAGATCTCCTCAATCTGAGCAGGCAAGTCAGTCACGGAAGATGGTTACAGTATCATCTGCATACAGGTGTGTTTTTTGTTTTTTTTTTAGTTTTTACCTTCTGCAGTCCGGTGCAGAAGCGTCTGAAGACCTCCTTCATGTTGCCGCCCTTCTGCATGGAGATGACACGCAGGTGGTCCTCCTCGTTCACCCAGACCAGGAAGGTCTTGTTGTCGTTGTGCCTGGAGGAGGAAAATAAAACAATTCAAAAGCAGCTCGAAAAGTTATATTTACTGTAAAAATATATATTTAAAAGCTAAAGATGTTTAAAAATGAAAGAAGTAGAACATTACCTGAAAACTAAGAAATGGAAGCTAAAAGTAGCAAGTCAAGCCAAAAGCAGCTGAACATTAGCTGAAAGCTAATAGTAGCTAAAATTAGCAACAGGTTTATTAAATCTGTGAAAAGACAGATAAAATCAGGAAATGTTAGCTAAAAGCAGTGAAAGGCTATCTATACAGTAAACTGGTAGCTAAAAACGAGAAGTAGCTAAAAGAACTGAAGGGTAAAAGCACCAAAAAGTTAGCCGATGGCTAAAGGCTTGATTAAAAAGGAAAAAAATGGCTCACTAGAATCAAAAATGCAGGTTGAATGCTGTTCGCAAAAGTAAAGAACAGAATAGTTAGCTAGCAGTTAAAGTAGCAGAATGACAGCCTAAAAGTAGCGACATTTGGGCTAACATCAGTGAAAATATAGCTAAAAACAGCAACAGGCTAACTATGCAGCAAAAATGTTAGCCAATAAGTAAAGGCTAGATTTTAAAAAATCAAATGGCTCACTAGAAGCAAAAAGGTTAGCTAAAAGCTAAATTAGCAAGTCTAGTTAAAGATTGGGAAATGGTTACAGCTAGCAGCTCAAGTAGCAGAATGACAACCTAAAGATAAAGGTAGCAACAGGTCGACTAAAATTTAATGCAGGAAATGGTTAGCTAAAAGTATTAAGAGGCTATCTGTTATGTAGCAAAATGGTAGCTAAAAATAAAATGTTCGCTAGTAGATAAAGGCTATATTTAAAGAAAATAAAATGGCTTACTAGAAGCAAAAATACTTGCTAAAACAATAAATTAGCAAAGGTAGCTAAAAGTGGGGGAAATGTTTAGCTAGCAGCTGAAGTAGCAAAATGACAGCCTAAAGCTAAAGGTAGCAACAAGTCGTTTAAAATCAGTGAAAAGCTTGCTAAAAGCAGCTAAATTTTAACTGTATGCAGCAAAATAACAGGTCTCTCCTTTAAATGAGACGATGAGTCTCAAGAGATTTTCCTGTAAGAATAAAGAATTTTTTTAAATGGTAGCTACAAGTAGCTAAACTTAGCTACAGGCTAGATTAATATGATCAAATTAAAACACTAGCTAAAAGCTAAATTAGAAAAAATCTAGTTAAAAGTGGGAAAATGGTTGGCTACCAGCTAAAGTTGCAGAATGGCAGCTTAAAGCTATAAGTTGCTAAATGCTTTGTAACAAATATAACCAAAGTTTAGCTAAAAATATCATAAAAGTCTAACAGTTGGTTACAAGCTTAAAGTAAAAGCCTGGTTAGAAGTTTAAGAAAAAAAAACTCAAATTGCAGCCAAAGAAGACAAAAATAGAGCCTGAAGCAAATTTGAAGAAAAAATAATCAGATGAAAGGTTAAAATAAAAATATTTCATTATATTAAATAAAATATCAGCTAAAGGCTGCAGAGACTTCAATCTTCCTCCACATGACCTTTTGACCTTTCAGAGCAGACCCGGATTGTACTTCCTGTCTGTGTTTCTCACCAGATGCCTCTGGCATCGGGCCAGTCCCGGGCCATTCCGGCGCAGGTCAGCAGGGGGGACACGGGCTTGTCAAACAGGAAGTGATCAGCGATCAGCTGCTCCTGCTCGGCGTCGGTCATGCCTGTCAGGGGGTAGTACTTTCCCTTCAACTCACCGTCCAGGTTGGACAGAGCTGGAAAAAGAAACAAATAAAATATAAAGGAAGGTTCAAAAGAAAGATAATTAATAAACAATAAGTTTGATGCTCACCCTCGATGGACAGCTTCTCGATGCCTCTGCGCTCTCCACGGCTGTTGTGGGGGGGCAGGGTGAACCCCTTGATGCTGCGGCCGGTACGCACGCGGCTGGACAGAACGTAGTTGGGGTCCAGGTCGTCACCGCCCTGATGGTGAAGCAAAGATTCAGCTTTGATTCATTTTGTACACGATAATGACCTGAAATTGACCTGTTACACAAGTTGGAGTCTTGACCTCATAAAAAAGTACTGACACATCTTGTAGGTCTCAAAATTTGCCTAAGAACACACTAACCCTAAACACTGATTTTTTTTAACTTTATGAGGGTTTTGGGGGACCAATCTTCATGACATTGCGTTAGCACCTTTATTTGGTTTAGTAACTGTAATAACTTGGGGCCTAAATGTTCAGAAACCATTGGTTTGAACCATTAGCATTATGCTAAATGTTTAGCTTATAGTTGTTTGGGGTCATCACCTTCAGGTTCTCGAAGTTCAGGTCGGTCTTGTGCTTGTCGGTGGGTTTGTATCCACCGTGACGGTCGGAGATGACTGGGTCAAGCAGCTCCTTGAAGACCTCGTAGGACTCCTCGTCACCAGCGACGCAGCCCACGGTCATGATGAAGGGGTGGCCTTAAAGATGACAAAGAGGAGGAGGAAACAACGGATTAATTCAGCCATAAAACACTAACCACTCATATCTTGTGGTGTTCGATTTAGGGTTGGGCAAACTTGGTACCTATCACATGCAATTAATCATCGAAAAAACTGTCAACAATTAAAATTTGACACTTTGCAATTACTGCATGCCATATGGTGACGTATTTTTGTGCGTGACACTAACCCTAACCCAGGTGCTCGTATAACTTTAAAGGTGGAAGGCTAAACCTAACCCTACGAATCTGTTTGATCACCTGAAACACCAACATAACCTGGAGAACGAGGAAAGCCAGAAAGTGTGGACCAAGGACACAACGTTGGCTACATGCAAGTGCAACTGTTATTTATTAATTCTCATCGACTAAAATTGTGATAATATAATTTTTGTCAATATCTCCCAACCCTAGTTTGATTCTACGCTGATGACTCTATTCTTACCGGGGTTGTCGACGCCGGTCTGGATGACATCGTCCACGGTGAAGCCGCTAGGAGTGGACTTGCCCCTCAACTTGTCGTAGATCTCCTTGGTCAGCACCTGAGGCAGGTGACGCATGGATCAGAAATTATAGACCGTGTTGTGTGAATGAAGCTTCTCAGTGCTTAAAGGATTCACGATTAGTTGTAACATTAAACTTTATTTGATAAACATTTATTTTAACTGTAAAATAAAGACTGTAAAAATACTGTAGGCTGTTTAGTTTGTAATTTTTTTAAATATATTTCAACACGGACGGAGCCATTTTATTTCCACACAAAGCATTCTGGGTAAATGATGACGTGGATAGGTCCTCGGTGCGAGGCTGCTAGCGAGCTATATCCACCCTGAAGGTTAATCTTGGACAATATCTGATGATCGACTCTTTTAAATGAAACCAGAGAGCGTTGACAGAGAGGAGAAGGTAGAAATGACTCAGCCTGGAACTGAAAATATGGATGGAGGACAACAGAGCTGCTTCATGGAAGAAGAACCTCAGCTTAGCCTGTTAGCCTTCGCGCTAGCCCTCACGCTATATTGCCTTATATGGATTAGCTCTGCGCTAGCGCGACAAACAAGCTAAACTGAGGTCCTCCATCCATATTTTCAGTTGCAGACCGACTCATTTCTACCTTCTCCTCTCTGTCAACGCTCTCTGGTTTCATTTAAAAGAGTCGATCATCAGATATTGTCCAAGATTAACCTTCAGGGTGGATATAGCTCGCTAGCAGCCTCATGCCGATGACCTAGTTCAGTGTTTCCCAAAGTTGGGGTCGGGACCCAAAGTGGGGTCCCGAAACATCAAGGTGGGGTCCTGAAAATATTTTCTGAATTAATTACATTTTTGCCTTAGTTGTTACAAAGGAGTGAGGTTAGTATATTTATAATGGATAAATGTAGTATAAAATATTGTTACTATGCCCATGTTTTGTTGACCTGATACAAATGTTTATCATCCAAAAATAGTTGGGGGCACAGGTCTCCGCTGCTGTTTTGTACTATTTTGTGGGTCAAAAGCTGAAAAGTTTTGGAACCACTGCACTTTGGTTCCCAAAGTTGGGCTTGGGACCCAATTATGGGTCATGAAGCACCTTGGGATAATCTCCAGAAATCAATTTAAAGGGTAATAAAATAATTGCTGATGTAATATTTTCCCTATAATTATTACAAAAACACAAAATAAATAAAAATAAGTATTTATATTTGTGTACAAGCTGTGTAGATTGTCAAAAAAACAGTTTTTAGGGTTATTAATGAAGTTCGTGTACTCAGACCAGTAATATTTGGGGTCACAAGTTTTTGCCATGGATATTTTGTGGGTCAGAAGACAAAAAGTTTGGGAACTACTGACCTAGTTGATGTCATCATTTACCCAGAATGCTTTGCGTGTAAATAAAATGGCCCCATCTGTGTAATATATTTTTAAACTTTTAGTTTAAAATTATAAAAATTGAACATCCTACAGTATTTTTAAAGTCTTTATTTTACAGTTAAAGTATATGTTTATCATATAAAGTCTAATGTTACAACTAATCGGGGATCCCTTTAAATATGAAAAACTGTTAAAAATGATGCATCAAAACTTTGAAAAAGTCTCCAAAATGCGTCGATTTGTACCTTGGCCATGTGGTTGTTGTGCTGAGAGAGATCGGGGAACTCCTCGTCCGTGCTGAACTTCATTTTGTAGTCGTTGTGGCAGTTCTTCGTCATGGCTGCGGTTCTTACTTTGTCTAAGAAAAAACACAGATTTTCAGTTTTTAGAATCCTTCAATGAGAACCACCATCACTAGAGAAGAAAATCTGATTTAAATAATTGTTGAAATGTAGTTTGTTGCAAACTGTGTGGTCTTTTTCTTTCATTGTCTCAACTTTAGCGCCATAATTTATCCTGTCTGACCACCAGCCCCCGCCCCTCACACGTTATTAATAGCTCTACTGCATCCCCACCATTTTTAGCTCACTGTGATAAATGGTTTTTACTCCAACCAGCCTTGTTTAAAATCACTTCAGTCTTTTAGTGAAGCTTCTTGATATTTTTGACATTTTTACCCCAAAGCCTAAAACTTCAAAGTACAAAAAAAATTACTTAAAACAGCTTTTTTTTTAATGCAAAGTTGAACTGAATGACACTGAAGCTACAATTTTGTTCAGAAATGAGCTCTGTCATCGTTCCTGCTCTGTATGTTTGGAGCAGAGGTTAGCAAGGTCAGGTCGTTACGACACCTAAAGGTCAGCGTTTGCGTGCATCAGATTCCTCCGTGGCTAAATCCAGACACACCTCGGGCCTGTTCTGCAGGCGTCAGCAGCAACTGACAGATGGACACAACTGTTGGAGTCACACTTTGCTGCTGCCTGCACGTCCAAACGGGTCAGGTTTCTCAGAAAAACTACATTTTAGTGCAACAAGTTGCTCAAACACACGAGAAAATTAAGGGTTAAGAGAGAATCCTGCAGTCATGAAAGTCTTTTAAGTAAAAATCTGCTGCTAAAGCTTCATGAAAGGTGCTAAATTTAATTTATATATTTCTGGGGTAATGTTTCTTTCACAAAAAGCGTTTAAATCTCCTCAATACTTTTTCCACTGAGTAATCAAAACCATATTTTCTTTTTTTTACCTGCTCTGGAGAAAAGAAAGAAGTAACAGATCCCGAGATCAGATCCTGTCCACCTAATGTAGGGGTTGCCCAGCTCTGACAGGTGATGGACTTTAGCTTTTATACCCAGATCTTTGTCTCCATTGGAGGACCGGGTCTGGGGTCCCCTCGTGTGATTGGTCACAAGGGGTTTCTGTGCCCAGATGGGTTTCTAAAAGGCAAGAATGAACGTCACACAACGCTCGAGAAGAGAGGCAAGGCAACAGCTGCAGCCACCCGGTCCAACCTTTCACCTTCTGAGTCCTGCTCCAGAAGAACCTGAACGTTGGAGAAAAACACAAATAATTTGTCTAAATGATATAAAGTTCACATGAAGGCACCGACATGTTCTAACCCTGCTGCTGCCCTTGGGTCAAAATGACACACAAGGTCTCAGGTCTCTCAGCCCGAGAGAAGCAAAACACCAGTTAAACACTGTACAGAGAAAAGGGCTAGCTAAAAGGCTAATAACTCAAACTAAGATAACAACAATAGGTTATTTTAAAACTAAAAATAGCAGATGATAGCTAAAAGTAGCAGAATTGTAGCTAAAAGTTGCAAAAATGTTGATTAAAAGTGCTAAATGGCAGCTAGAAGTAGCAGTATGGAAGCTAAAAGTAGCTAAATGTTAGTCATATGTTGCAGAAATGTAGATAAAAGTAACCAAATGTTAGCTATAGTAGCAGAATGACATCTTAAAATAGTAAAATGGTAGCTATATATAGTAGAATGATAGACAAAACTTACTTAAACGTAGATTAAAAAAGGCCAAATGGCAGCTGAAACTATTTAGTAATTAGCTAAAATTAGTAAAATTGTAGATAAAAATAGCAGAACGGTAGCTAAAAGTAGTAGAATGGTAGCTAAAAATAGAATTATAATTAAAAGTATACGGAACAAAGGTTAAAGTAGCAGAATAGTAATTAAAAGCAGAATGTCAGTTAAAGTAGTAGGATGGTAACTACGAGTAACAAAATGCTAGCTGAAAGCGAAAGGTATCAAACAGCATGTTTAATTCCAAAGGTAGCAAAAGGTTTAGCTGAATGCTTTAAGCTAAAAAAAACAAAAACAAGATTACAGAAGTAGGTTTAAAAGAAAACATTTTAGTAGAAATTGAAAACACCTCAATGTTTTTCTGTTCGGAAAATTGTTTGTGAATAAATTAAATAGTTTGAAAAGTATCAAAGGTACAAAGATCAAAAGTTGTGTCATCTCCTAAACGAGCTGAACTTTTTGATATATTTAATAGTTAAATCAGCAGTTTGCTGAAGTTAACGGATTGTGTATTTTATAAGAAATATGTAGATTTTTTTGACAAACTAATATAATTTAAATTTATCTGCGTTTCCTTCCATGCCGAAGCTCTGATTGTTTGATTTTCTGCACACGTTTAGCCTCGACTCTGCTCCACGTTTATACGTCCTCAGAGAATCAGTAAACGGTATCAGTCTGTCGCCGCTTAGAGGAGGTCAAATAATCCCTGAGAACAGATTCAGTTTCATCTGGCAGCCTCCTAATCTGCTAATTACCAATCAGGAGAATAGGTTCTGTTATGAATAGTGACAGTTTGTCCAAACTCCAAACATTGTGCAGATCAGGGGAGGAAAATTAAAATTATATATAATAATTATATATAAAACTGAGAGAATTACTGAATCCTAATTTATTGAGTTCAGGCCAGAAGTCCAGTTCAGTTTGGGTTCAGAGGATATCTACCTGCAGATGGAAAATAAAAGTAACAAATTGGGGGCGGAGCTAAAAAGATTTGACAGGCGTTTCATGTTACACTGATATTAAATGTTTTTTTGTTTATTAGTTTATCTGCATTTTGTTTGATTTGTTTTTTTTTTTTTGTAATTAATTTTATTTACTTAGTTATTCGTCATTTCTTAGCAGGTTCTGTCCTTGTTTTCTCAGTTATCTCAGCTTGTTTCAGTTTAATTTGTTTGACATTTACCTGAAACTGCTGCAGGTCGATGGTTTTTCTTTTCCTGGACCTCTTGTGGAAGCTTGTGTCTAAACACCAAGAATATTGCAAAATCTCCCAACCAGCTATCTTTCAGTCCCACTAATCAAACACGCTAAAACTCTCACACATAAACATTTGTTGGGTCTTCCAACCCATCAAAGCTACGTTGGTTATTCTGTATGAGATTTAAGTTTTGTTCTTTCTGAGCTGTAGCCTTTTTAGCTCCAGTTTCACAGCTGCAGTTTGACCAATGATAGACACGACTGTCCAAATTAGTCTCTTCAGACGTTGCTGCCGTGGCGCTCATCCTTGATAAACGATTGAATTCAGATTACCAGAACAACCATGCGGTAGAGCCAGTTGTTCTCCAATTATAAGGTTAGGGTTCAAATGTCCGGGAGCTCTTTGGTAATAAAACCTGAATCCTGAGCTGAAGGCCCGAGAGTTGCCTAAATATAAATAAAAACATAAATAAAATTCACAGTGTTGTCCTTTTAACGTTTGTTTTTAAAAAGTCTAAATGTTCACAAATAAATGTCCCGTTTTCCTCTTCAGCTCATATTTTAGCCCCGCCCCTCAGTAAAACCCAGGGGTCACACTGACTGACATGTGATACGTCTTCTGACCACTTAGACCAGTTGGTTCTGCAGCTCGCTTGCCTCTGTGGCTTTAGTCCAGTGTCCCAGTTTAGACCGTCACCCTATCTCCTAAACGCACCCCTCCCACAAACACAGACCGATACCACCACACACACCCTTACAGCCCGCCAACGCAGACCCTCAGGAACAGTTATGTAAACCAGGAACATTATGTGAATCCCCCAGCGCTGTTTTAATCCAACCGAACCGAAAACAGAGGGTGGTTCAAAAGGAGTTCCCAAAGACGAGGTTCCGGGACCCACTGTGGGTCGGGAAGCACCAACTTTAGGGTCTTCCAGAAGCGGAACTAAAATTTAAAAATGGCTGCTTAAGCTGCACGTTTATCGTTGAAGGTTTCACAATAACAGATGTTAAATATCTGCAACTGAATCAGTGAATTATGTAATGTTTGCAGAGTTGTACGACCTCCTGGACCGGGGTTCTGAGTATTTTGTGGTTTGGGTTGCAGCCTGGCAGCAGGGGCCTCGGGGGGCAGCTGAGGGTAACATGAATTCACAGCTTCACACTTGGTCGCTCTTAGAATCCACAACACGAGCTGCAGATGCTTTGTTCTTTCTAAATCATAAACTGACTTTTTGCTCCGACTTAAGATTCATGAACCAACTTCAGCGTTTCAAACCCCTCATTAAACAAAATAAATCCTTCTTTGGACTCCTCAGGTTTGACCTCTGCTGCCCTGCCCCACAGCAGAAAAAAAAAGACGTTTGCCGTTAGGATCCCACAAATAGACTGGGACATCTGCAGGACGAGTGTTTTGTAGCTGCACACAGTTAAAAATACTGATGGGATGAGCAGTACTGCATCATGATCATAAAGCCGAATAAACAAAATGATTATTATTTTTCTGCAGGTTTCCTGTATTATCTATATAAATCTGCACAAATTTAGTGTTTTACTTGTGGAAATGTGTTTGAAAAGTCTTATCTATATTTAATTTTAAAAAATGCATGTTTTTGTTTTCATGTGCAAATTGGTGGACTTCCTGTTATGGAGGAGTTTAGTAATCTAGATCCATCCACATCTGCCTCCAGCTTCAATCTCAGCTGTGTTCCTGATGGTGCAGGTGCAAAGATGTCCCAGACCCAGGAGCCACAAAAAACCTTCTGCGTCCTGATCCAAAGATCCAGGACGCAGACTGATGACATCATCAGCGTCAACACCAATCATGAGAAACTACAAATGGCAAGTGTCTGATTAATTAGTGTTCTCTGCTTCTAGAACTGATTGGAGAGATTTTGGGAATAAGCTCCGCCCACTAGGAGGAGGGGCTGGCCCTGCCCTCCATCTCCCACTCTTCTGAATATGTAGCATGTTTGAGCTTCAGGGTGTTGTGAGGAGGCTGGGGATTTCTATCTTTAGTGTCGCCTCCCCGGGTTCTCTGATGGCCGATCTTCAGATCGAATTGCATCGACTCAGCTGGCGTTTCTTTAGTCCCCTCCTTCAGCTCGC